CAATGATTGTGAGGATGGTTCAGGACCGGGCAGTGTTTCATTCTGTTGTGCATAGGGTCACTATGAGTTGGAGCCAACTTGGTGGCACCTAACAACAACATTTTGTAGAGTTATTCTTCCCACTTAGTCGTGCTTCAAATTGTTTTAGCTCGTCTAGGTTCTTTGCTTTCCATACAAAGTTATAATCTAAACTTGTCTATATCTAAAAACACCTTCCTGGGATTTTGATAAAAACTAATTAATCAACACCCTTACTACTCTGCATCTTTCAATCCATGAACACAGTATATCTCTCCATTAATTTAGGGTTTCTTTGATTCCTTTCATCAGCATCTTGTAATTTTCAGTATACACATATTACACATGTTTTGCTAGATTTATAACTGGTGAATTTCTACTGAGTTAACTCATGGAAACCCCATGTGTGTCACAGTAGAATTGGGCTCTGTAACGTTTCCAATGGATGCTTTTTCAGATGCAGATCCCCAGGTCATTCTTCCGAGGCGTCTCTGAGTATACTAGAATCTCCACCCTTTTGGTTAGCAATCAAGCATTTTAGATTTATGACTATTTCATTGTCTTTGAAGTGATTGTCTTCTGAATTCCACATGTTCACTGTTATTATATCAAATGTGACTGATTTTCACATACTGATCTTGTATCCTACAACCTTGCTGAACTCAGTTATTAGTTATGGAAGTTACTTTTCTAGCTTTTCTGTTTTTGCATATTTTTGAGGTTGTTTGCACCAACCATGTGTCTTCTGAAAGCAGAGACTCTTCTATTTCTTCTGATTCTTTTTCTTGTGTTACTGCATCAGCTACGACTTGCAGTATTATGCTGAGTAAGCGTGATGAAAGTGGACACTTTTTTCTTGTTTCCCATCTTTGGAGGGAAGCTTTCAATCTTCATTGTTAAGTCTGATGTCAGATACTGTGTTTTGTTATTATTATTATTTTTTTTGCAGATATAGTATGTTGTTGTTGTTTATAAGTGCCATCAAGTTGGTTCTGACTCATAGCAACCCTGAATAGGATTTCCAAGGAACAGCTGGTGGGTTTGAACCACTGACCTTGTAGTTATCATTTCAGTGCTTATCCTACAGCACTACACCAGGACTCCTTGCTCATTCTATAGGTATATGCAAAGACTAAACTGGTCTGAGCCCAGTTCCTCTGGCTTTGCCAGCAATTCTTTTCATCCCTTTCTACTCTTCATAGGCCTGGAGGATGTATTCGGTCTTGTTTCTTTCTATTCCACTGGAGAAATAATTTGCCTATATTGTGAACAGGTACACTTAAAAAGCAATTGGCAAATAAAAGTTGGAAACCATATCAGGTAGCTGTTATCTATATTTACAGAGAGCAATAGAATATTGATTAAATGTTGATTATGCATTGATCCTAGTACTTGCCACCTAATAGTCAATCACCAAGCATTTATTCAGCCAATGGTGCCTGTTCAACAAATTATCTACAATCATGGCGACCTCTAGAATGTATACAGGGCAAATGCTTTTTTTCTTTGAATTCTAGTCTTTTGGTCCAATGGGATTTATGAAATCTGCCATTTCTATTGCTGAGGATGATGAGTGGAAGAGAATGCGAACATTGCTGTCTCCAACCTTCACCAGTGGAAAACTCAAGGAGGTGAGAAAATAAAATGGCTGCTCATTAGAAAGTAAAGGAACCAATCTGGGGGCAGATAGAAAGGAAAGTCAGATGAGTTTGAATGTGATAAACATGACCTTTTATCTTCATGCCTTACAAGAGACAGTATAAGATTTATGCTAGGTCTTGAGTTTCCATATTTACCAATGGGTGGTGGTGTGTTTTTTGTTTAGATGTTCCCCGTCATTGGCCAGTATGGAGACATGTTGGTGAAACATCTGAGAGCGGAAGCAGAGAAAGGGAAGCCTGTTGAGTTGAAAAGGTAAGAGCAGTGTGGTGGTTGGGATGTTACTGAGCTCTGTCACAAGGCCCTCCAGCTGCCTGCCACTGAGTTGAAGTTCCTAATGTTGAGTTACTCTAGTGACCAAACACAAGTTATGTGGGGTTAAAACTCCATTGTTGTTGTTGTTAGGTACCATGGAGTCGGTTCCGGCTCATAGTGACCCTACATAGGGTTTCCAAGGCTGTAAATCTTTACGGGAGCAGATCACCTCATCTTTCTCCCACGGAACCACTGGTAGTTTCAAACTGCCGACCTTGAGTTTAGCAGCCCAATTTGTAACCACTACGCTACCAGAGTTCCTAAAACTCCATTGGGCTACCCAAGAAAGGTGACTTCAAGACAAAAAGCATCTTCCTAGTTGTGTACATGGGCCTGAATTAATTTATTAGCTTAATTGTCACTTGCATTTTCTAGAAGACCAAAAAAAAAAAATTTTTTTTTTTAAAAAGAAGCAGTATGATATACTTAAATCTGTTCATGATTTTGATGAAGATGCCAGAAAATGTGATGTATAATGAGTATTATTCTGCTATGAACACAGACATTTTGTGGAGGAAAGACTCAGAGATCCAGTGTCATCTTTGTGGACCTTGTGAAGAATTCATTCACTGAGTTAGTGTCTGTATTGGTGCTCCAGCACTGCTTGACATACCTGTTAACTTCCACACTCAACAGTCACTGCTGTAGTTGTATTACCTGTGGGTTTGCATCCCTCAAGGACTGGGCTCCTGGAGCTCAGAAGTCCACCTTCGTATCCCCATCACCCCATGGGACAGTCTGATAAATGCTCCAAGAGTGCATGCGATGGACACACAGACTGTCAGCTGGTCCAGCAGATGGTTTTGAAAGTGTGTGTGACTCTCTTCCTGTTTTTTTTTTTTTTTATATGTAGGTTTATGAATGTACACTTCATAAATTACACTTCAAGTTGAATGTGTTGCAGAGGGATGGTGAAGAGATGAAGAGATGTTGATTTAAAATTTCCTTGTCTTCCTTTCTCTACTTAGCATCTTTGGGTCCTACAGTATGGATGTAATCACTAGCACATCGTTTGGAGTGAACATTGATTCCCTCAACAACCCAGAAGATGTCTTTGTGCAAAAAGTCAAGAAGCTTATAAAATTTGATTTCTTGGACCCAATGATGCTTTCAATAAGTATGTGTACTACTTTTTCTTTCTTTTGTTTGTGTTTCTGGTTTCCTATCTGATTCCATTGCCTAATCAGAGGCAATACACATGTATTTTTTAACTGTCTTATTGTGAATCACGTGATAGTTTACATGGGAGAACATTAGCTTTACATTCGTCCTATCATATGTCGTTACATTGTCATGATTACAATCCCCTCCATGCATCATCAATCAACCAAAGGGTACACCTTGTAAGCCTGCCCCCTGGTTGTCAGCATACAGCCTCTCTCCCTCTCTAGGTGTAGAGTTCCCAGCTGCTTCATCTCTCTACATCATCATCTCTGTCTCCATCTCTGGCATCACTGTTTCTCTGGGTAGGGTCCTGCACTCCGCTCTTCTCCCTTGACGGTCCCAGGAACCTCCTCCGCTCCTGGACTGCAAAGTCAACCACTTCCCTCCTTTTTCTACGAAACGTCTACCTTTATATTTCCAACCCTCACAGTCAGTCCTGATAACAATTATTCACTATTGTACCACATGAGTGCTATCCCCATCTCCTTTCATCAGCCCTGCCCAGACAGATTGGATATTACTCAGTGGAGACTCTACCTTCCTCTGTACCCTCTGGATCTAGGCTCCCTCTTGAAAGCTTGTAAGCCAGTCACTTTTTGCCTTTGTAGCCTCCCTCCCCCTCCCATTTTGGGTAGCCGGTGTCCAAGTTGCCCATCCTTGGTGGGAATGATCCTTGCTGTAAAGATTTATTCCTTCTTTTGAGCTGCTGCATCCATAGATGTAGGTCAAGTTTATCAAATTGTATCAGATTACTGTTTTTTTCCTCTTCTTTCTTCTTCTAGTTGAGCTCTGATCATCCAGTCATAGAAGCCAGGTCAAGTGGGTATTATCTGCAAGTGTGGATGTTCTTGTGCATATGCAAGCGATAAGGCTTTCTGTTCCTGCAAAGATTTAAAGCCTCCAAAACCCTACATCGGGGTCACTATGAGTTGGAATTAACTCGATAGTACTTAACAACAGCACAACATGTTAGCTATAGTAAATTTGTAGTTAAGTTTTGAAATAAGGAAGTGTGAATCTTCCAACTCAGTCCTCCTGTTCAAGATTGCTTCAGCTATTTTTAGTTTCTTACAATTCCATAGCAATTTTAAATCAGCTTGTCAATTCCTACAAAACAACCAGCTGAGATTCTGATAGAGAATGCTTGGAATCTGTAGATTAATTTGGGAAAAACTGCCACCTATGAAAATTAATAATAATATTAAGTCTCTTGATTCACAAATATGAGATATTGTCCCATTTTAAAAAGATTTTTAATGTCTTTTAATAATTTGTATTGAGTATAAATCTTCCCTTTCTTTTAACAACGATACTTTTAAGTATTCCATTGTCTTTGTTGCTATTGAAAATGGAAATGGTTTCTTAATGTCTTTTTCACATTGTTCATTGCAATGTATCACAATACAACTAATTGTATATCCTGAAATTTTGCTGAACTGATCTGTTACCTCTGTTAATCCTTTAGTGGATTCCTTAAGATTTTTTATATACAAGATTATGTCAACTGAGAATAGAGATATTTTTCTTTCATCCTTTCCAATCTGGCTATGTTTTGTTTCTTTGTATTGCCACATTGCTTTGGCTAGAGACTAGAATGTAATGTTAAACTGACATGGTGGGAGTCTATAGTTTTATTTTCTTGTGATGAGCTTTTCACACTTTGCTATCAAGATAATTCTGATATGAATGAGTTAGGAAGTGTTTCCCTCTTTCCTTTTGGAAGTGCTTATAAAAAATTGATGTTGATTCTTCTTTAAATATTTGGTAGAATTCACCATGGAAGCTAGCTATTCACAGACTTTTCTGTTGGTGGACAATTTTTTAAAAATTTACTAATCTGTATTTGTGCCCATTCCAAAGAGAGGTGACTCACTGGAATGTGGAAATCATTGGACAATATCTTTGATATCCCATGCGAATAAAGTTTTACTAAAGATAATATAGAAACGGCTGCAAGCATACATTGACAGAGAACTTCCAGAGGTTCAAGTCGGATTCAGAAGAGGCCATGGAATGAGGGATATCATTGTTGATGTCTGATGGATCTTGGCTGAAAGCAGAGAATACCAGAAAGATATTTACCTGTGCTTTATTGACTATGCAAATGCTTTTGATTGTGTGGATCATGACAAGCTATGGACAACATTGCGAAGTATGAGTATTCCAGAAC